GTTGGTGTTCTGGCTGGAGATATCAGCACCGATGTGGGTCAGCAGCTCTTTAAACTGACCGCGGTGATAAACTGGGCACGGGACAAAAAATAATCCGTCAGCTCGCAGCTCCTGGAGTAGCGAAACTAACCGAACAAACCGCCTCTAAATCACCTGGTGAATTATCTGGTGTGCACAACGTTCGCTTGCTCTTTAATAAATAAAGCAAAGCCATTTTCTTTATTTTATCTTTAGTTCATCTGCCGAAGACAGACCGGAAAAAAACCAAGACGCTCCTCCCACTTCAGACGCGCATCTAGTCTATGTCCCGGTCTGAACGTAGCACATCCAACTTGAGGTGTTAGGTGCTTTTTTGCTGCTCTAAACGCGTTTGGTGTGAACAATGTGCTTAGCCCTGCTGGGGGATAAGCACCCCTAAATGTCAGATCCTAGAATCGCCCCTGCGCTTACTCCTGCCTCTGACAGAAAAGATAAAAGGTAACTTGATGAATCAGATTGGAAATGGGGATATGTGTCCGATTTAGTATCACATAGGAAAAAGACATGTTAAAAAAGACATGGGTTAGGATTTTATAAGAATTGGATTTGTCATATTCARACTATCACAAAAAATCTGATATGGGTCGTACAGGGGCAAAAAATTTGGTTTGMATTTTTTTTATGAAGTGTGAATATAGCCTTGGTCTTTCTCCTTAAATTTCACACTCATTGGTGACTGAAAAAGATTCATTTAAACATGGATGATGTTTAAATCTAAAACTTGGTGCCTGAACACATTGATGGTTCTGACTAGAAAACCAGGAATCAGAAGAAACACAATTTAATTTACAGTTAAACAAACTTGCCTTGCAAGYTCTTAGGACAAATAAAAATGACTGAGATCATGTATATTTGCATAATCCTGGCATTTTAAAAAGGACAGAGAAAAAAAATACTAAAGTTGAAAAAAAAAAACAATATAAGTGATGAAAAAAATGTTTTAACTGCTATTTATTTGCTTCTGAGGGATGCTGTCAAGCTGAAGAAGGAGTCCTACCGGGCCTTTCTGGCC